ATTATAACCCAAAATGCCCAGGGATATTTTCCTTCACAATAATACATCCAATCCCCACAACAAACCTACAACAAAACTCCAAATGACACACCCCACACACACCCCTTTGTCTCCCAACCCTGACCAAATTCAAATTCCCCCAAAACCTCCACAAATACCCAGCCAAATGTACCACTTCATCTTACCCCCACTCCTTGGCCCTCAACCTCAGCCCTCGCCACATTCATCCCTCCTTCCCCCCAACAATTCTTGCAACTCAGGAACAGCCCAAAACCCCACCAAACAACCCATATCCCTGATTTCATTCCACTTAAGAAACATAAGCACATGGGCATTATTTTGAGTGAGTTGTATTTTCCCTCATTCCCTCCAATGAAATCCTATATATTCAGCAATAGGCCTGGGTGTAGAAACACATTGTATTCCCTTTTAAATCAAAGTGATTCACTTGTGTGTTTCATTCCAAATTCCTAATCCTATATCTTAAGAGTGGTTCTCTTGAGTGTGAGTTTTAGGTTCTAGTTATTTAAGTAAGTGTGTAATATCTTATTTAAATGCTAGATTCAACCCCAAGTTAAGATAAGGGTGTGTAATATCCCTTAACACCAATTTGGTTTGTTTTTCTTTCCAAAGAAGTACCTTGTTCCTGTCTCGAGCTGTCAAATAATCGATTATCCCCACTGGAAATCGATTATCTATCCTTCGTGAAACACCTGCAGCCCTCAATAGTCGATTATCAGTCTCCAATAATCGATTATCAGCCTTTCCCAAAAAAAACCTGCCGTCCTCAATAATCGATTGACACCTCCTGTAAATCGATTATCTCCCCTCCCAGAAAATCCCCAGAAAATTGCCCCCAGAAACTGAAGCCCCTGATAATCGATTATCCACTTTGGACAATCGATTATTTCTTCCTTGTTCTTAACAAGATAGTTCCTTTAAAAACCTTATCATATGCATGCGTAAAAGATCATGCGTAATTGCGTCTCTTATAGCGTGGTTGTGCTGGACTTAGTAGTCCGACAACCCTGACCGGGCTTAGTGTACGTACATGTTATTCAGACTTTCAAGTACCACCCCTATTTTTCTAGTCTCCCTTGTGAGACTAAGAAGGACATGAGTTCGTCGTACCAAATGGGCGAATCTCATAGTTGCAAGGTCATTCCTTGTTGACTTAGAATCATATAGCATGAAGTCATCATCAAGTAAAATCATCATGACTATGTGTAACATCAATTACGCATCATGTAATCCTCATCAAGAATAATTATATTGATTACATAGGCGTCATGTAATCATCATCAAGAACAATCAAATTGATTAAATTAAATGTGCCATAATCATGCAATTATCATTAAATATTTATCATCATGATTCATCAAATTGACCATATGATATAAAGTGTCATATCAGGAATATTGTTATACATTTTTGTGGACATATATATACGTATATGTCTATGAATTATTCTACACTTCTAGCGTGGTACCACTCAGCGGTTTCGCTGAGCGTGTAGTTTCTATTTTTTCGTTGACTACACGTAGGTAACAAGAAGATAATGACGGAACCATTCCCGGAGGGCATTGAGTCAGCGGAGATGCAAGGATGGCAGGCAAATGTTTGGTCATCAGATATTAAATGTGTCATGATTTGATTATTATTGTACTTCCGCATTACTTTTTCCTTATTATTGGTTTCATTTTACTTTAGGTGGTTGCCCAACTTTTTCCTTATTATTGGTTTCATTTTCAAAACCTAAGCCATGTTTAGTAAGTTGCAAATTGTCAAGAACATCATTAAGGTTTTTATGAGAAACACCAAACTTCTTCAAAGTTCCTTCAAGTTTTGCAACTTGATCCTTAAGTGATATACAAAAACTACATTTTGAACTTTCCGGTTTGTCGGCGCTTCTTTTTCCGAAAAACTTATTTTCTTCTTTAAGTTTTTCATTATCTTTTGATAGTTTATCAACTTCTTTCTCCATGGAAGTAAGTTGTTTCTTCAAATCCTTGTTAATTTTAGAAGCGTTGACATATTCATTATAAAGTTCATTAAAGGCTTCTTGTACATCATCAAAAGTATAGGAATCTTTAGAAGTGGTACATACCTCTTCCGGTGGTTCCTCGTGTTCCATGAGGCAAAGGTTGGCGCTTTCATTCTCTTCGCCTTCTGATCACTCATCGCCGGAATCACCTCCCCATGAAATGTAAGCTCGGTGCTTCTTGAACGGTTTCTTCTCCTTCTCGTTTTTGGCATTTGGGCATTTTGGCTTGATGTGCCCAACTTCTCCACACCCATAGCACTTGGGTGGTCCTCCATGCTTTTTGCCCTTTCGTTCATACTCTTTTCGCATGAACTTGTGGAACTTTTTGATGACGAGCCCGAACTCGTTGTCCTCATCGCTTGATTCCTCCATGGCGGGTTCTTG